AGCTAATTTTTGTATTTTTAGTAGAGACGGGGTTTCACCATGTATTGGCCGAGCTGATACCGAACTCACAGCCTCAAAGTAGTCTGCCTGCCTCAGCCTCCCAATTGCAGGATTACAGGCTTGAGCCACCACGCGCCACAAACTTAAGTTTTGACAATCTCTCTGTGCCCTGGCTCCTTCTCCAACTCCTCTTTGGAGGACACAAAGGAGGAGGAGTCATTTACTATTTCTGAAAAAGACATATAACCTACAACTTACAACTGCCTGGTCGATAAGGAGCCCCATCTGTCTTTGGCATGACGTCAGTGGTCACAAAGGCTGATTAGATGCATGCCCAGCTCTGGGGCTGTACACTGTGTGGGTGGCTAACTGAGACTCCCACAGAGCTCTGAGTGGCAGAAGCCCAGGACTCTTAGAACATGCCAGAGTTTCGCTGAAGAAGCCTCGAGTGTGTGGGTAGGCACTGTGCTCAGTGCTTTGATGCCCAGTCTCATTTAATTCTCACCATTTACAGACAAGAATTCAGCCAAGATCCTTTTCAATCTAGTCTGGCAGTATCTGCCTTTCAATGGCAGTGCCTAGTCCTTTCGCCACATAATATCGTTTGTTAGGGGTGGGTTCACGTCTTATCCTCTCTTACTATTTATTTATCTATTTGTCTCCTCTCTTTTGTTCCTCCTTTATTGCCTTCCTATTTGGTTGAGACTTTATTTTTTTGTTTTTTTTTTTTTTTTTTTTTGAGATGGAGTGTCGCTCTGTTGCCCAGGCTGGAGTGCAGTGGCCGGATCTCGCGCTCACTCCATCCGCCTCCCAAAGTTCATATGTTAAGACCTAATTGGCTGGGTGCGGCGGCTCGCGTCTCTAATCCCAGCACTTTAGGAAGGAAGAGACCGAGGCGAGCGGATCACGGAGTCAGGAGCCCGAGACCAGCCTGACCCCAACATGGTGAAGCCTGTATCTCTACTAAAAATACGAAAATTGGCAGATAATGGTGGTGTAGCTACTGCGGGAGGCTGAGACAGGATAATCACTTGAACCTAGGAGGCAGAGGTGGCAGTGTAGGCAAGATCACCACCACTGCACTCCAAGCCTGGGTGACAGAGCGAGTCCATCTCCAAAAAAAAAAAAAAAAAAAAAACCTAAATGATAGTATTAGAAGGTGGGGATCTTCTACGAAAGGTAGTTAGGTCATGAGGCTTTATCGCGTAGTTGGATTACAGCCCTTATAAAAAGAAAGGAAGGAGAAAGAAAGAAGGAAAGAAAGAAGAGAAAAGAAAAAAGTAACAAAGTAAAATGAATCTATAAGGAAAAGCAAAGGCAATTATTGTCGATAAAGACAAGAGAAATTTCAGGAGTGTATTAGTTTCCTAGGGCCACTAGAACAAAGTAGCACAAATTGAGTGGTATAAAACAAAAGAAATTTTCTCTTTCATAGTTACAGAGGCTAAAAGTATGAAATTCAGGTATGAGCAGGGTGGATTTCTCCTGACGGCTCTCAGGAAGAATCTGTTCCATGCCTCTCTGTAGCTTCTAGTGACAGCCAGCAGTTGTTGGCATTCCTTGGCATATAGATGCATCACTACAATCTCTTCCTTCCTCATAACAAGGCATTGTTCCTGGTCTCTCTCTTCTTATTTCTTTTAAAATTTTGATCTATGTGTTTGTTTATTTATTTTGAGGCTGGGTTATGAGACTGGCTTGATTTTTGTATTTTGGTAGAGACAGGATTTCACCATGTTGCCAAGGCTGGTCTTGAACTCCTGGGCTCAAGTGATCCACCTGCCTCAGCCTCCCAAAGTGCTAAGATTACAGGTAAGCCACCACTCCCAGCTTCTGTCTTCTTTTCTGTCTTGTTTTTTTTTTTTTTTTTTTTTGAGACAGAGTCTCACTTTGTTGCCCAGGCTGTAGTACAGTGGCATGATCTCAGCTCACTGCAACCTTCCTCTCCTGGGTTCAAGCTATTCTCCTGCTCCAGCCTCTGGAGTAGCTGGACTAGCTGGGATTATAGGCATGCATCACCACACCCAGATAATTTTTGTATTTTTAGTAGAGACAGGGTTTTGCCATGTTGCCCAGGCTGGTTTTGAACTCCTGGCCTCAAGTGCTTTGTCTGTCTTGGCCTTCCAAAGTGTTGGGATTATAGACATGAGCCACTGTGCCTGGCCTCCTCTCTTTTCTTGTAAGGACACCAGTCCGGCCAGACATGGTGGCTCATGCCTGTAATCCCAGCACTTAGGGATGATGAGGCAGGTGGATTACTTGAGCCCAGGAGTTCAAGACCAGCCCAGGCACCATGGCGAAACCCTGTCTCTACTAAAAATACAAAAAATAGCCGGGTACAGTGATGCACGCCTGTAGTCCCAGCTACTCAGGAGGCTGAGGTGGGAGGATTGCTTGAGCCTGGGAGGCAGAGGCTGCAGTGAGCCAAGATTGCACCATTGCAGTCCAGCCTAGGCAACAGTGAGACCTTGTCTCAAAAAAAAAAAAAAAAAGACACCTGTCATATTTCATTAAGGGCCAAGGGCCTACCTTCCTCCACTATGACCTCATCTTAAGTAATTACATCAGCAATGACTCCATTTCTAAATGCGGTCACATTCTGAGATATTGGGGGTTAGGAATACAACATATCGTTGGAAGGGGGTGAATATAATTAAACCCATAACAAGGCTGGGCATGGTGACTCATGCCTGTAATCTCGACACATTGGGAGGCTGAGGCAGATGGATCACTTGAGGCCAGGAGTTCGAGACCAGCCTGGCCAACATGCCCTGTCTCTATTAAAAATACAAAAAAGTAGTCAGGAGTGGTGGTATGCACCTGTAGTTGCAGGAGGGAGTCTAAGGCAACAGAATCGCTTGAACCTAGGAGACAGATGTTGCAGTGAGCCAGGATCATGCCACTGCACACCCTGGGCAACAGAATGAGACTATCTCAGAAAAAAAGGTGTGTGTGGTGGGGAGACATAGCAACTATTTTTTAAAAAGAGAGAATCAGATTAAAATTTAAACTAAAAAATACAATGTCTAAAATTGAATATTCATTCGATGAGACTAAAGCATGTTGGACTTGTCTGAGCACAATGGTTTATATCTGTAATCTCGGCACTAAGCTAAGGCAGGAGGATTACTTGAGACCAGGAGTTCAAGACCAGCCTGGGCAACATAGCAAAACCCCATCTCTACAAAAAATGCAAAAATTAGCCAGCACGATGGCATGTGTCCACAGTCCCAGCTACCTGGGAGGTTGAGGCAGGAGGATCGCTTAAGCTCAGGAGTTTGAGGCTGCAGTGAGTTGTGATCATGTTGCTATACTCTAGTGTGGGTGACCAAGTGAGAGCTTGTCTAAAAAAAACAATAACATATTAGATCCAATTTTAAGAAGGCCAATACATGTAAAGACAGGTCAGTAGAAATTATCTACATGAAAGTGTTGCAAGATCCTTGGGGTGTCACTTTTCTAGCTGGAAACCTCTGTGGACTGTGTCACCTTTGCCTGAGATTTGCTCAGGCCCACTAGGCTCATTCCATCCACTTGACCTGGCAGGTTGCACTCAGCTCACACTACCAGCCTGGATCTCATGTCTGCCAAAGGCGAGCCAGGCATGGAGTGGCCAGGGGTATGTGAGCAAACAAGCATGGGGTCTGGCCACTGCACACAGTCAGGCATGCTGGCTGCTGCAGTGAGGTGGGCAGCTCCAGGTGCCAGCATCGGTGCTGGCTCTCTGTGAGGCAGTGACTGGATCAGACACTCTGCAAGCATCTTTCAAAGCTGCCACTGGGAAACATAGTGGTGCCCAGAAGCTTGGAGACTCCAGGAACTGCAGGGCCCCAAAGAGGGGGTCACAGCCCTGGCTTGGGGAGTTCTCAGGTCTGGGCTTCCTGAAGGGCTGTGGCTCTTCTCTACTTCTCTTCACTCAAAATGGGTGTATTTCAGCCTTGTTTGTGTTACAGATCTTTCAGCCTTACCATTCAGCTGGTCCCAAGTTCTTGTCCTGTGTCTAGGAAGAACAAAGTGGAGGGAGAGCAAGGTGTAAAGGAGCTTTGCCAACAGCATAGCTCAGAGGAGGCCCTGGAGTGGGTAGCTCCTCTCTGCAGCTGGCTTTCCTGACCTCTGCTCAGCTCTGAGTGAGCCCAGGGCTTTTATGGGCCTCAGAGGGTAGGAAGTACATGTGGATTGGTCCATGGGTGGCCATGGGCAGGCCCAGAAAAGGTACCACAAGTTTCCCACTTCAGCCTGTAGGACTGGCAGCCCAGCCCCCAGCCCTCAGGCCTTCCCTGTCCTGAAGGTCGGACCTCACCAGAGACCCACCCCCTTTTGCCCAGGAACCTGTCTGCCTCCTGCTGCCATTCATGGCACCCAGGCTGTAGGTGCCAAGGGGCATCTGCAGGCCAGTGCCCTGCTGCTCTCAGCCCCCTTCAGCTTCCCTCCTATGCTCGTTGGTGTCCAAAGTCTGGAGGGGGCCGAAGTGGCTTGGGCTGGTGTGTCAGCACTGACCTGAGCATGTTTGGGCCCTGCAGCTGCATGGGACAGGGTGGGGTGCACAAGGCTTCTGCCCGCTCCATGGATTGGGAGGCTTGGGGCTGCAGCTGCAATGTGGGTGGCGGCAGCTGCGCCTGGAAGGGCAGGGCTTCTGCCTGTTCCTGCCCCTACCAGGAGCCCAGGGAGACCTGGGTCTGCAGCCACAACTTGGGTGGCAGCTGTGCCTAGTGGGGTGAGGCTTCTGCTTGCATCATGCCGTGGGAGGCCCGGGTCCACAGGCATAACTTGGGTGGCTGTGGCTGCATCCAGGGAGCTCCTGCCCCACCAGCTCCGACGAGGTGTGTCTCCCACCTGTCTCCAGTTCCCACTGGCTCCACGGAATGGCAGCCCTGGCTGCACCTCCCCGCTGCAGCCAGTGTGATGGCAGTGGCCACTCCGGATGGGCCCCCAGTGCCATCAGAAGCACAAAGAGAAAAGTGATTGACAAATGCAGCCTCAGTAAGGTGTGGGGCAGGATAAAGCAGTCTAACATACATTTAATTGGCATTTCCAAGGAGAAAAGAGAGAGAACAAGACAGAAAAAAAATTATGCTGAAAATATTCCAAGGTTGATTGAAAAGAGAAAAATTAATCTACAGATTCAGAAAGTTCAGTGAGTCCCAGCCAGAATAAATGCAAAGAAAGTCCTATTTAGACACATCATGGGCAGACTACTGAAAATCAAAGAGAGAGAATGTGGAAAGCAGCTGGCATGAGTGGGGTGGGAGGAGACAATTATACATAGGAAAACAATGCTGGAAAAGACTGCAGACTTCTCACCGAAACAATGCAAGTCAGCAAACAATGGAACAGCATCTGAAAAGTGATGAAAGAATAAATCTGTTAACTCTGAATGGTATCAGTGAAAATATCTCTCAAAATGGAAAAATAAAACCATTTGGGGATAAATAAAACGGAGGATTTGTGGCCAGCAGTCCAAAAGACTGTTTTTCTTTTCTTAAATTCTCTAAAAATTAATCCACCATTTAAAGCAAAAATAACAATGCATTCTGGGATCTATAAGACATATAAAAATAAAGTATATGACCACAATAACACAAAAGGCTGGAAAAAATGTGATTGCATTCCATATATATATACACATACACACACACACACACATATATACACGCACACACATATATACACACACACACATATATATACATATGAAATTTTATTGATTGATTGAGACAGAGTTTCACTCTTGTTGCCCAGGTTGGGGTGCAAGGGCATGATCTTGGCTCACCACAATCTCCGCCTCCTGGGTTCAAGCAACTCTCCTGCCTCAGCCTCCCAAGTAGCTGGGTTTACAGGCAAGAGCCACCACACCTGGCTAATTTTGTATTTTTAGTAGAGACGGGGTTTCTCCATGTTGGTCAGGCTGGTCTCAAACTCCCAACCTCAGGTGATCCACCAGCCTTGGCCTCCCAAAGTTCTGGGGTTATGGGCGTGAGCCACCACATCCAGCCCTGGCATTATATTTTTGTGAAGTTCTTGCATTATACATGAAGTGATGTACTATTATTGGACAGTAGACTAGATATTGAAGAATGCACATTGTAACCTCCACTACAGCAAACAAAAATATAAAGAGGCGTAGCTAAAAAGTAAGTAGAGAAGATGGAATAAAATGTTTTATAAAGTCTCTGGCCGGGCGCGTTGGCTCAAGCCTGTAATCCCAGCACTTTGGGAGGCCGAGACGGGCGGATCACGAGGTCAGGAGATCGAAACCATCCTTGCTAACCCGGTGAAACCCCGTCTCTACTAAAAAATACAAAAAAACTAGCCGGGCGAGGTGGCGGGCGCCTGTAGTCCCAGCTGCTCAGGAGGCTGAGGCAGGAGAATGGCGTGAACCCGGGAGGCGGAGCTTGCAGTGAGCTGAGATCACGCCACTGCACTCCAGCCTGGGCGACAGAGCGAGACTCCGTCTCAAAAAAAAAAAAAAAAAAAAAAAAGAAAGACATAACCTGGAATATTCACACTGACATTATTCATGATAGCCCTAAACTGGAAAGAATCTGAATATCCTCCAGCTTTAGAACAGATAGAGAAATTATAGACTATTCATTTGTACAGTGGATGACTGATGAGCTTTAAGAATAAACAAACCGTACACAACAATATAGATGAATCTACAACCATAATGTGCAAAATAGTTCACTTATATAAAGGGTAAAAACAGGTGAAACTACTCCATGGTGTTAGAAATAGGGGTAGAGGTTACCCTCATGCGGGAGGAGGGTTAGTGATAGGGGATTTGGAAGAGGAGAAGCCCAATGGACTGAACACCTGAGCTGGAAACAGCAATTTGTTCCTCAAAGTTCTGAACCCGACTGTTGTCCAGCATGGAGTCTGTCTGGAGTGGCCAGATGTGGGGCCTCTCACAGGGGAATGAGAAGTGCCCCTCAGGGTCCCATGACCCCCTTTCCTTGCCCACACAACCACCAACTGGCAAGTGGTAACCCAGGACCTGTAGCCCCCACTGGGCTGACATAGAGCATAATGCAAGCTTCTCCTGTTCCAGGTCCTGGACACTGCTTTGCCCCACGCATACAGTCCCCTGACCAAAAGCCTGGTGCTCTGGCTTGACTAGAGGGAGCTAGGCTCCAGGAATAAATAAGGAGCTGGGCTTCCATGCTAGAGAACAAGAGCTTCTCCGGGACAAGGGGCTTCCTCTGAAGCTCTGGGGCACTGGGAGATTTAATGGGCAGACCTCTGGCCTCAGCTTCCAGGGAAGGGGAGGATGTGGGCCAACACGAGGTGGCTACACTGGCCACAAGCTGATGACCCCAGCCAGCCTCAGGATGTCTCAGCTCTAGGCATGGTTTTTCGTTTTGTTTTGTCTTGTTTCGTTTTTTTTTTTTTTTTTTTTTGAGATGGAGTCTTGCTCTGTCGCCCAGGCTGGAGTGCAGTGGCTGGATCTCAGCTCACTGCAAGCTCCGCCTCCCGGGTTTACGCCATTCTCCTGCCTCAGCCTCCCGAGTAGCTGGGACTACAGACGCTCGCCACCTCGCCCGGCTATTTTTTTGTATTTTTTAGTAGAGACGGGGTTTCACCGAGTTAGCCAGGATGGTCTTGATCTCCTGACCTCGTGATCCGCCCGTCTCGGCCTCCCAAAGTGCTGGGATTACAGGCTTGAGCCACCGCGCCCGGCCTCTTGTTTCGTTTTTGAGATGGCACCTCACTCTGTTGCCCAGGCTGGAGTGAAGTGGCACGATCATGGCTCCCTGCAATCTCCACCTCCTGGGTTCAAGCTATTCTCCTGCCTCAGCCTCCTGAGTAGCTGAGAGTACAGGTGTGCGCCACCATGCCCAGCTAATTTTTGTATTTTTAGTAGAGACAGGGTTTCACCATATTAGCCAGGCTGGTCTCGAACTCCTGACCTCAAGTGATCTGCCTGCCTCAGCCTCCCAATTGCAGGGATTACAGGCTTGAGCCACCACGCCCGGCCTAGGCATGGTTTTGACAATCTCTCTGTGCCCTGGCTCCTTCTCCAACTCCTCTTTGGAGGACACAAAGGAGGAGGAGTCATTTCACTGTTTCTGAAAAGTAGACATATAACCTACATGCAACTGCCAGGTGATAAGGGCCCCATCTGTCTGGCATGACGTCAGTGGTCCACAAAGGCTGATTAGATGCATGCCCAGCTCTGGGCTGTACACTGTGTGGGTGGCTAACTGGGGCCTCCCCACAGAGCTCACAGGTGTGAGGGAAAGCAGGACTCTTAGAACATGCCAGAGTTTTCGCTGAAGAAGCCTCCAGTGTGGGCCAGGCACTGTGCTCAGTGCTTTGATGCCCAGTCTCATTTAATTCTCACCATTTACAGACAAGAATTCAGCCAAGATCCTTTTCAATCTAGTCTGGCAGTATCTGCCTTTCAATGGCAGTGCCTAGTCCTTTCATACATAATATACGTTTTGTTAGGGGTGGGTTTAAGTCTTATCCTCTTACTATTTGTTATCTATTTGTCTCCTCTCTTTTGTTCCTCCTTTATTGCCTTCTATTTGGTTGAGACTTTATTTTTTTTTGTTTTTTTTTTTGTTTTTTTGAGATGGAGTCTCGCTCTGTTGCCCAGGCTGGAGTGCAGTGGCCGGATCTCAGCTCACTCCAAGCTCCGCCTCCCAAAGTTCATATGTTAAGACCTAATTGGCTGGGTGCGGCGGCTCGCGTCTCTAATCCCAGCACTTTGGGAGGCCGAGGCGGGCGGATCACGAGGTCAGGAGTTCGAGACCAGCCTGACCAACATGGTGAAACCCTGTATCTACTAAAAATACGAAAATTAGCCGGGTGTGGTGGTGCCCAGCTACTCGGGAGGCTGAGACAGGATAATCACTTGAACCTAGGAGGCAGAGGTAGCAGTGAGCCAAGATCACACCACTGCACTCCAGCCTGGGTGACAGAGCGAGAGTCCATCTCAAAAAAAAAAAAAAAAAAAAAGACCTAAGTGATGGTGTTAGAAGGTGGGGATCTTTGAAAGGTGATTAGGTCATGAGGGCTTTATCCTTGTGAATTGGATTACAGCCCTTATAAAAGAGGTTCCAGGGAACTGTCTTCCCCCTTCCACCATGTGAGGATACAGCAGGAAGGTGCCATGTTTGAAGCAGGGAATGGGCCCAGGCACCGGATCTACTGCTGCCTTGATCTTGAACTTACTTCCCAGCCTCCAGAACTGTGAGCAATAAATTCTGCTGTTTATAAATTTCCCAGTCTAAGGTATTTTGTGACAGTATCCTGAACTGACCAAGACACCCCCATGAGTCATGAAGCTAGCAGCTTTTTGTGTATTTGTTGGCCTCCTAAGTATTCTTGTTATGAAGTACTTCAATGCAAACCCTCCCCCATTTTTCTCTTAAATTATCTGCCTTTTTCTTTTTGATTTGTAGGAGTTCTTTATATATAGTGGGAAAAAATCATTTGGGATGTGTGTGTGTGCGCGCACACGCAAATGCACGCATGCACGTGTTTAAAAGGCCAATCTTCTCTGTCCCACAAATTCAGAACACCACAGTGGTTGGGCCATAATTGCACTGTGGGTGGTGGCAGGGTTTCAAACAAAAGGCATAACAACATGTCACATAAAATTAATCTGATTTGAATTGATTTTGTACGTGATGGGTCAATTTGTCTTGGTTTTATGCTTGTATATGAACTACAAGGAGTTTATAACTCATTTTATGCTTGCACATGTTTAAGTAACACACAATAAAAATCATTTAAGGCAACAATGAGGGCCCATGAGATGCCCTTCTTCTCTTGGTAAGTAGGAGGAGATTCTCAAAACACAAATTCAATCTGTGACTCCCCTGCTTCACGCATCTCAAACGATCCCTTTTTTTTTGCCTAGGATGGAGACGAGACTCCTTCCCCTGGCAGCTGGCCTCGTCAGATCTGCTCCCCTGCGCTGTTCACTGAAGCTGCCGCCTCTTTCTGGGCATGGTCTCTCCATGTCTTCTCTCTCCAAGTAAGCCCTCAGCTCCTGTTTTGGAGCAGCTGCTGCTCCGACCACCCCTTTTGCTTAGACTTAGCTCCATCATCCCTTCTCTGGGAAGCTCCCACTATGGCCTCTGAAACCACCAGCCCAGCTGGGCACTTTGCTTCTTTGCATCATCTCAGCTGAGATTTTTAATTTATTTGTGGGATCCTCCCCTCCCAAACAATAAGTTCTGTGAAGACAGAGATAGTATTTTTTTCTCCTCACCTTATTTATTTATTTATTTGAGACAGAGTCTCACTCTGTTGCCTAGGCCAGAGTGCAGAGGTGCAGTCTCGGTCCACTGCAGCCTCCACCTTCCAGGTTCAAGCCATTCTCCTGC